AGCTGAAAAACAAGTTAACTAAAAAGAACCAAAAACACCATGTAAACGTCCCAGAGTTCCCACAGTGGGTCAGAACCTGAATGAAATGTACACATAGAATACATAAAACTGTACTAAAAAATGACTAGAAGAAAAGGCCAAAGGACCACAGAAACAGTTCAGAAGAGCAACATATAACAGACTTAAAAAGGCCAAAAATAACATGTAAACCTTCCAGATTTCCCACAGCTCTGACCTGAAAGATGACGGTGAAGTAGACGACTATGAGAGTCGTGCACACCATCAGGTTCTTCTCCTTTATCTTGTTCTCATCCAGCAGGGTTGCCAAACCGTAGGCAACTGCCCCTCGCAGGCCACCGTAGCTCATGATCACCTGGTCAGTGAGCTCTATGGGCACCAGCCTGAACTTGTTCAGGATCCAGGTGAGGAAAAACACACCTGGGGGGGCATGAAGAGACACTCTGAGCCAGGGCCAACATACACAGAGCCGTCAGCCAATGGGGAGGGCGGGGGGGGCTCACCGATAAAGCGATATACAAGGATAAAGAACAGCGTGAGCAGGATGAAGCCTGTGTTCCACACCCAGATGGTCTTATCGATGGCCGAGATGCCCAGGAAGACGAAGATGATGGTCTCCGAGCCGTTGGCGAACACCTTCATGGCGTAGCGTACCGTGTTGACCGAGGTCTCGTCCATGTTGGCGTTGATGTACTTCTGACAGCACATGGCGCAGAACAGGATGCTGAGCACACAAACGCACAAAAAACAGTCAGAGGCAGCGCCAGAGAGCAGCCAATTCAACCCAAAATGACACAAAAAGCTGGAAAGAGCTGCAATATCTACCCAAAATTATACAAAAAGCTGCAATGTCAACATAAAATGACCAGAAAATGACAAAAGCTGGAAAAAGAGCTGACATTTCAACATAAAATCAACAAAAATATGCCCAAAAAGCTGGAAAAAGAGCTACGATTTCAACATAAAATGACAACAACAAAAAAAAGAAAATAGCTACAATTTCTACAAAATTACACAAAGATTATCAAAAAAATGCCCTTTTCAACCCAAAATGACAGAAAAATGACAAAAAAGCTGGAAAAAGAGCTGCCATTTCAACATAGATAGAAAAAGATGGAAAAAGAGCTAGAATTTAAACCCTTAATGACCCAAAAATGCCTAAAAAGCTGGAAAAAGAGCTGCGCTTTCAACCGTAAATGACATAATAAATTACTTGCTAAAATAAAAAAGTGGATTGGTTAAACTGAAAAATCCGGACCAGGTTTTGGGGTCTTTTGGGGGTACTCACGACAGGATGGCCGACAGCGAGAGCATCTCGGCCGTCAGGTAGGCCAGGTATCCCAGCACGAAGATGAAGCCCGGCTCGATGATCTGGATGTTCTTGGTGCATCTGGTCAGCAAAGCGATGAGCAGGCCAAACACGAAGCCCACCAGCGAGCCGCCGAACGCCACCACAAAGAAGGAAACTGAGCAGGAGACAGGCAGGATGAGGACCTCGTCCAGGTCCCACCTCCCAACGCCTCCTCAGACTACTCACTGATTCCTTTGATGATCTCTGCAGCGTCTATCTTCGACCCTCCCAGCGACACAAATGAATCAAACACATTAAAGAGCACCTACAAGAGGAGCAGAAAGAATAAGAAACAGCATTAAGCTAAAGACAATGAGGCTGGAGGATCTGCATGTTTCTGCCTCTGAAAGCAAAATATCAGTGAAACATTTAATTTATCCTTTATCATTAAAAAGCACCAGGGGGCAGCGATCACATAAACAACACAAAGACACAAAACAGACACAGAGACACAAAACAGCTACAAAGAAATACAAAACAACCACTAACAGACACAAAACAGACAAAAAAACAACCACAAAGAGACACAAAATAGTCACAAGGAGACACAAAACAGACACAAAAAGACATAAGCAACACAAAGAGACACAAAACCGACACAAAATAACCAAATAGATACACAAAAGACACACAAAAAAGAGACAAAACCGACACAAAATAACCAACTATATACAAAAAACACACAAAACAAATACAAAGAGACACAAAACAACCACAAAGAGACACAAAACAACCACAAATTGACACAAACAAACAAAAAGAGACACAAAAAAGACACCAAGACACAAAAACAAACAGAAAGAGACACAAAACTACCACAAAGAGACATAAAACAACACAGAGAGACACACACAGCTCCAGACGGCCCTACCAGGCTGTTAAATAGTGTCACAGCAGACCACTGTTTGTGTGCAACATCATATGAGGTGGTTTGAGGCCCCAGAGGTCAGAGGTCATACGCACCACGGTCACCCCGTCGTTCAGCAGCGACTCTCCGAACACCATGATGAACAGGACCTCGTTAACATGCACCTGCTCGAACACGGCCAGGACGGCCACCGGGTCCACGGCTGCGATCAGGCTGCCGAACAGCAGGTACTGCA